GGACGACGAGGACGACGAGGACGAGTACGACGACCAGTATTGATAGTTGTGTTGCAATTGCTACGACTACCAGCGATAGTAATGACACGACTACGGGACACAAACTTCTTCTACCACTCTTCTTATTAGCTCTGCTATAGCTGTCACCGTGGAATGAAAAAGGCGCACTCGCGTTCTAGGGTTTAGAGTGCAGGGTCTAGGGCTTTTTTGGTAGCCCAACTGGGTTCATTTGTAGATGCATGTAGGGTTTCAGCACAAGCATGAGAACCAGAAGTTAAAACGCGAGCAAGTACAACACAAAGTGACCACCTCATACAACGCCAAACCCTCCATGTCCTTGCATTTCCCTAAACAATCCCACCTATGATTGAAAGATACCTTGAGCGCCACACCTTCAAGCCGAACCCTACCTCCTCAACCTCAACGCTACACCCTTGACCCCAAACTCCTAGACCCTTCGCCCCCAACCCTGCACTCTTAACCCCAAACTAGACGGTAGTTTCCCCAATAAGCGGAACCCCAACATAGACTCCAGTCTGCTATAGTCCTCATTATGGGGACCCCCCGAAAAGGTACCCCTAATTTTAGCTTCCCCCCCAAATGCTCTATCCTCAACCCTAAACCCCTAAACCCTAAGCCCTATCATATTCCCCAAAACCCGATAAACCTACTTTGGAGGATCCCGCCTGGCTTCCGCTGCCAGTACCCTCCTCGGACCCATGGCAGGTCTGAGATCTTCTGCTGTAAAGGAGCCCTGAGATACATTGAAGGATTAACATAGGGGTTATAAATGGATAATGGATAAGCTGATGGAAACTACTATTTAGGGGAGGTTTTATAGGATTTAGGGAAGGGCTCAGGGTTTAGGGGTTTAGGGTTTAAGGATACAGGATTTGGTGGGGTTCCCAAAATTAGGTGTCCCTTTTTGGGGGTCCCCATAATAAGCACTATAGTTGAGGGTTTAGCGCTTAGGTCTTTTTTAGTAAGGGTGTAGGGTAAAGGGGGAGGTTGCAAGGATGCCAGAACACTGATAGAGAGGGTTACTTAGCCTGAGAGCTTTCAATTCACTCAAACATAATGTGTACTGATACAAGGAATAGGGCAAATCAATGTCGAGCCCTAATAATACTAGCCCACGATTTAGTCCAGGATTGTCTATGGAGTATGCGAGACAGGGGGTTCTTAGTACCAATCTATGTTTCAGTTCTCGAAATTCATTTGTGTGAGAGCTTTATCTAGGGTGCATAATCCTACTAATCTGCAGCCTCCTTATTTGTAGATGGCATGCGGGATCTCTGTTGTTCTTCTTTTTCAGGGAGCGTGCGAGTGAGAAAACCAGTGTGAACAGGGGATTCTTGATGTCTAGGGCAAGACTCACATAGAAGTACACTTGTACACATGGTAGTTTAACAAAATAGGGGGACCCCAATATAGACACCAACATATGATGGTCCTTATTCTGGGGACACCCAAAATGGTACCGGTAATTTTGGGAAATCTTAATCCCTATAAACCCCTATATACCCCCAGTTTCCATTTCATTTTCCATTTTCTTTTCCATGTGATTCTCCATTTTTGGGGTTAGGGATATCCCCATTATCCCCCCAAATAGTACCCCTAAGTTTGGGAAACCCCCACGTACCACGGACCCCAAGAGAAATTGAGATCAGAATGTCTTATGATCGGGGTATTGAAACCTCGGAATTCGAGGGTTTAGGGTTTAGTCTAGTCCTGCTTGAAATCAAACAGTTGCTCTGAAGACTGGCGGTGATATTGATTCTGGTACTGGTTGAAACATATGATCATTGCCAAAGTATGACTGGTTGACAAGGATGCCAGCCTCTTCATGTACATATATATATATATGTAGATACATATATATAGAACCCTATATAAACCTTTATACAACCCATTATAGTAGTTTCTATTTTCTTTTCTATTATCCCTATATACCCTATTTTACTCTATACTATCCCAATATTACCTACCCTGTAGGTTCAAGGCGTTCGTGGGAAGTCCACTGGCCATAAGACTTCAGAAATCTAATCGAACCTGAGCGCAGTTGCTGAGACACCAAGCAGCGGACAGATAGTTCGGAGGGAGCCCTCCATCTATGTCAGGGACAAGTACGTAATTGGCAGGCTGGGGAATTGCTTGCTGTCTTGGCAACCATCGGGTGCCATTCGGGGCTTGCACACACTCGCGCTTGCAAGAAACGGTAACCAGCAGCGGGCAAAGAGGTTCTACAGAGACGTTATCAACCCGCTCAAGGCCCTAGATAGCTGCTAATGAAGTTGCAGCAACAGTGCTGTCATACTGGGAATCGTTACAGCGTAAGGGATAAACACTGGTACAGTTTATGCTGGGCTCTGGTGCTGTGCCGGCAGGCACTGCATGCCATCGCATGTCAATTCGTCGTGGTGGCTCACCCGTTTGACATCTTCCCGGTGCCCATCGCGCCAGCACAATTCAGGGCCGCTGGCACTCGCCACACCGCTGCGCCGCAGACCGCCTCTGCTCCACGAGAGTACCGGGGTGTTCTGTGTACGCAGGCATCTTCAGCAGATTCAAAGTTTTTGAATACCAGTCGTTTCAAGCGATCAGAGGGCGCAGATGACCGGCTCCTCTGACTGCTCCTTGGCAGGCCTAGTACGGACGTTTCGAAGCCAATGCTGTCGTGTTCATTGCAGTTTAGATCAATGTTACATCCATAGATTGTACGAGCATTGGGGTTTTGGAGCCCCGCAGCCCTCCCCAGAAGTATCAGTTGACGCTACACCAGATTTGTCTCCGCACAGAGCACAAAGATGCACACATGGCCGGGCGTGTGTAACCCTCGGCGGTGCTGTCGAACAGGCCCTTGCCGCAATACCAAGACTTACGATACCGCTTGGGGAATGGCGTCCGTGCAGTAAGATAAGGTTCATTCCTGCGATATACTTTGGCTGCAGCACCAGTAGTCAGGCCACTGTAGCTTGAGGAGCTAAGCTACATGCTTGTTAGGAGTATCTGCAACAGCGGTAGGACATCTTCGCCTCTTTCGTTGTGGGGAATAGCCGCAACAAAACTGAAGGTCAACATTCTTAGTAGCAGCAAAGCAAGTAACAAGTGGTCAAGTTGAGCTGGCGATCAGATTTATCGTTGGTCGGTTCTTGAGTGTTCTAAAAGAGTTTGTAAGATGCATTGAGGAAGAACACACGCATGCATCCACTGCCTGACAGACATGGATGGATTCTTTGCGTGGTAGAATTTGGGTAATCTTCGATATCCTTCCAGCGTGTCTCTGGACTTCTCAACTCTTACTCGCCTTTGCCGCAACATAGCTACATTGCCTCTTCACAGAGCGGACACAGGGAACCAAACAGACTTGGACCTCCCCAAGGGGTGCAAGCTTCCTCCAGGAAGAGTATTCCGTATCATCGACCACCAAACTTCGTGGGGATGTTTGCATGTCTTCACCACCGCAAAGAGAGACGTGGGGGGTTTCCAAAGATTTTCACAGACCTGTATCTGCAACATGGAGCCACCGCACTGGTTTGAATGGGTGAGCCATGTCATACATTCGCGCCAGGATGATGTTGTAGTAGGCAGGGAAATCCAACCTGTGCTTGTTTCTGAAAACTCCAGACTCCCAGACCCATTGCCGTTCAAAGAAACCTCCCAGACAGTCGAGATTGTAGGCAGGACTTGTCAAACACTGGGGCCAGAGGTCCTTGTGAGCAAATTTGCCAAGAATAGCGCGCTCCAGCACCTCTGGAGAAAAGCGGGCGTCACGAGAAGTGTCTGAAGGTCGGGTTCCAGAATCAGAGCACGCCCTTTGGCTCTTAGCAGGCTCTGGGGACTCGAGCGCATGGAGAATGGGCTTTACGGGGGCATTTGGTGGGGTTTGGAGTTTGGTGCCTGCTGGGTATCGGTCACTTGTACAAGGCAAGACGGCAGTCTGTTACATGGGATTACCCATGTCGCCGGCCGTCCTCTGTAGCAATTCCCACATAACATCATGAGAGATATGAGCAAGTTCAAGCCAAGCATTTGAATTCCATGGCCCCGTGTCCCCGACAGTCGTAAGTCGTCAGTCCACAAGCCCTGCACAGACGTCATGGTGCCATGTTTGTCACGAAGACCTGGGACGCTAGAGATTACATGAGTTATAGTCTAAGCTCTTTAAGC